CTTAATTTGTTCATACGAGTAACAAGTATGTATTGAGTGCCTACTCATCCCAGGGACTGTTGTAAAAGTGGGAAAATAGCAGGAAATAAAATAAAATCCTTGTCTAATGGAGCTCACATTTTAGTAGGAAAAATCAGCAGTAAACAAATTTGGAAACTACAAATTTGTGCACACACACAAAAGTTCAGGTTTTGACCTGATCTATGAAGAAGAATAAAGTAAGAGTGACCTGAAGTTGGTGCTTTTGTAGTTAGTGAAGGGTGGCCAGGAAAGGTCTTGCTGAAGCATTGGCATTTGGGTACAGATCTGAAAGAAATGAGAAAATGGCACACAGTGATCAGTAAATATTTGTGAAATGTGAATGATGCAAATGTCTGGGAAGAAAATATCCCAAGGAAGGCAATAACAAGTGCAAAGGCCCTGTGGCAGGAGTACTTGGCATGTTTTAAAAGCATTAAGAAGGCTCTGTGAATATTTATACTGTAGTTTTTAGGGGTAAAGTGTACTGATGTCTGCAACTTACTTTAAAATTCATTAAAAAATTAGATGGATGGATGGATGGATAGATAGAGGGATGGACAGATATATGCTTATGTTAGTATGGTAAAATGTTCATAGTAGCATTTAGGTGGTAGGTATATGAATATTCACCGTAAAATTCTTTCAACTTTACTTTGTGTTTGAAAAGTATCATAATGCAGTGTTGGCGGAGAAACATCAGGAAGTCTAGTGAGGCTGGAGCAGACTGAGGGAAGGAGAGAGTACAGAGAGAAGGCCACCGAGGTCTCCAGGGCCCAGAGCATGGAGGGCCTCATAAGCTGTGAGGAGACATTTGTGTTTTTTTCTAAGCACAATGGGAAGCCTTCAGAGGGATTTGAACAAGAGAGTTTCATGATCTAATTTATGACTTTAAAAGATCCCTCTGACTGCTGTGGGGAGAAATGCAAGCAAGCATGGAAGCAAGGAGGCCAGGTAGAGGGACAGTGGTGGTCTGGACCAGGGGGGTGGCAGTGGAGGTGGTGAGGCTGGTCAGATTCAGGGGGCAATTTGAAGGAGCTGCTGATGGATTACATATGCATTGCCCAAGAGCAGGGCTTTGGCCTCAGCAGGGCAGATGGTGGTTCTGTTTCCTAAGATGGGGAAGATGAGGGAATGAAGTAAGTTTGGGGAGGGGTGTGTGGGAGAGTGGTAAGAGGGAGAATCACATGTTCTATTTTAGGTGTGAAAAAAACAAATAATAGACTTCCTAATAAATGGTAGCTATTATCACTGTTTCTACCCACACGATTACATAGTGACCTCTGCAAACACACGAGCTCTCTCTTAGCTTGCAGCTCAGCTCTACTCATCTTTTCTTCTTTTCTCCCCCTTACATTTTCCACTTTTCCTCGCTCCTCCACCCGCCACTCCAGACCACCACCAGTGACTGCTGGAGCCTCTGGAAATGAGCAAGCCTCTGCCCGGGTCGGCTCCTTCAAAATTACGGGGGGTGGGATCAGAGGAAGCCCTTGGGGTCAAACCCGAGAGCATGCAGACCGTGGGGTTCAGTTCATGGGCTTGCAGAGCCCTCCGGCCTTTCTGTCTCTGTAGCTAGGCAGACACACAGGTCACCAGGTGGTGCTAACACATGGCTGGTGTGAGATTCAAAGACGCAGCAGAAAGAAGTACGGAGATCTCTCCATTTTACTGAGAAGGTGACTCTGAGTCCAGATCTGAGTTCATTTGACCCATTTAGCCGGACTGTCATTTTGCATCAACTATGTCAGAACAGCATGTAAAGACATTTGTCAGGTAGCCATCTGGGGAAAGCTGACTTAGCTGTTAGAGGCCTGCTGTCTGCAGAAGGCTGTCCCAGGCACTGAGGGCTGGGTCCACCAAGAGGCCACTGCATCTCATGGGGGCACTGGCCCAGTCTTCTTGAGCCACCTGCTTACAGAGAGGAGTCCTAGTGTGCATGCATGGGTTGGGGATTAACAGGGAGGGATGATTTCCATGCTGCTCATGGCCCTTAGGAGTCATTAGCTCTGGTAGCAACAACAACTAACTCTCATATGAAGCTAATTGTGTGCCAGGCACCATTACAAGCACTTCATGTGTAATAACTCGTTTAATCCTATGACAGCCCTATAAGGTAGGTACTATTATTATCATTCCCATTTTACAGATGAGGAAATGGAGGCTTAGAAAAGAGAACTAAGTTGTTCAAGGTTACACAGGTAAAAAGTGGCAAAGCCAGGTATCGTGGCTTTGCCACTTTTTACCTGTGTAAAACTCCATGGTGGACAGGTGGACAGGCTGCGTGGACAGAATCAAGATAATCCACGAGGACAGGAGAAGAGACAGTCCCATGGATGCTCGGCACAGGGAAGGTATCTGCAGGATAGAGAGAGCAGGGGCCACCTTTGTTACTCTTTTGTTTATTAGAATTTAATAGATCTGTCTGTCTATATAGGTGTGTGTGTGTATATATATATATATATATATATTCTCTTTATATTATTAAACATCTTTGTGCTTGCTTTAAAATACAAATACATTAACACTTATACATTACCCATTTTCTACCATTTTCTACCCATTTTCACTTCTCAGGGTACAAGCTACAACATAGGTTAAATAAATCATAGGCTTAACTGTCCTGCTCCCCCAAAAGTCTCCTTCCCAAAGATCACTAGCTGCATGGTCTTGAGCAAAACACTTAAATTCTCTGCACCTCAGATTTCTTTGTGTAGACCCACCCCATAAGCTAAAGCCATTAGTAATTATAATCATAATCACAAGAGCCACTATCAGCTGAATACCTAATGTATTGTATGTCTGTGCTATGCTGAGCACTTTCCATATCTCTCTCTCTCTTTTTTTAATGTATTGAAGTCTTGTGTCTTTCTTCTTTTAGATATAATTGATATATAACAGTTTATTAGTATCGGGTGTATAGCATGATGATTCGATATATGTATATATTATGAAATGATCACCACAATAAGTCAGGTTTAACATTCATCACCACACATAGTTACTTTTTTTTTCTTATGATGAGAACTTTTAAGACCTACTCTCTTAGTAAGTTTCAAATATATAGCACAATTTATAGTCACTGTGCTGTATATTACATCCTATGATTTACTGATCTTATCACTGGGAGTTTGTACCTTTTGACTCCTTTCACCCATTTTGTCCACCCCCACCTCTGGCAACCACCAGTCTGTTCTCTGTATCAGTGAGTTTGGTTTGTTTTTGATTTCAGATTCCACATACAAGTGAGATCATACACTATTTGTCTTCTTCTGTCTGACTTATTTTATTAGCATAACGCCCTCAAGGTCCATTCATGTTGTTGCAAATGGCAGGATTTCCTTCTTTTTTTATGGCTGAATAATTTTCCATTGTTTATATACACCAATCTTCTTTATCCATTCATCTGTCGATGGACATTTTGGTTGCTTCCATGTCTTGGCTATTGTAAATAGTGCTGCAATGAACTTGGGGGTGCAGGTATCCTTTCAAGTTAAGTGTTTTCATTTCCTGTGGATAAATACCCAGAAGTGGAATTGCTGGATCACATGGTAGTTCTATTTTTAGTTTTTGGAGGAAACCCCATACTGTTTTCTGTAGGGGCTGCACCAATTTATTTCCCACCAGCAGTGCATAAGGATTTCCTTTTCTCCACATCCTCGCCAACTCTTGTCGTTTCTTGTCTTTCTCATAATAGCCATTCTAACAGGTATGAGGTGATATCTCATGGTTTTGATTTTTGATTTGCATTTTCCTGATGATTAATGATGTTGAGCATCTTTTCATGCACCTGTTGGCCATCTTTTTGTCTTCTTTCATGGATTATCGTTTAAGTCTCCTAAAGGCAACTGAAATGTACAGAAATTATGTAACCTGCCTGCGGTCACACAAACAAGAGGTGACAGAGCTGGGCAGTAGAAGTGTCTCAAGGGCAAGAGCTATGTTCTCATTGCTTAACTCAGGCAGGGCCTGTCACTGACCAGAGAAGAATAAAGCTTTGATGGGTAAATGTGTGTGTGCAAAGAGATATGCTTGATCTATAGCCCCCATAAGAATTCTCCCGCTCCCCAAATTAAGCTCATGGATGAGTGTGTTAGTCAGCTCAGGCTGCCATAATAGAATACCACAGACTGAGGGGCTTAAACAACAGAAATATATTTCCTCACAGTTCAGGAGGCTAGAAGTCCAAGATCAAGGTGCCATTAGGGTTGGGCTCTGCTGTTGTCTCTCTTCCTGGCTTGTAGACAGCTGCCTTCTCACTGTGTCCTCACAAGGCCTTTCCACTGTGCACGTGAAGAGACAGAAAGAGAGATCTCCGACGTCTCTTCCTCTTCTCAGAGTGACACCAGTTCTATCAGATTAGGGCCCCACCCTTATGACCTCACTTAAGCTTAATTACTTCCTAAACACCTCATCTCCAAATACGATTACATTGGAAGTGAGGGCTGCAACATTTGGATTTGAGGGAAGACAGAATTCAGTCCATAACAATGAGCTCTGAAGAGAAGCTTCTGGGAACCCTTAAAAATTGTGTACAATATTTTGCATGGAAGGGAATCCATATATAACATCTGTTTGACTTCCCAAAAGGTAAGAACCACTGGTGGTATTATAAGTGAACAAAGAGGGAAAGGGTTCATGGAAAAATGGAAACAGAGCTGGCATTAAGGGATAGAAGAAAAAGAAATTTCTTATAATATTGTTTTAATAAGTGTTAAAAAGTGGAGAACAAGAAGGGCAGTGGAAGGTAAGGATGTAGTATTTCAGCCCCATTTTCCATTTGGGGAAGTTAGATGGCCTGCCTGAGATCACAGCATGGAGAGTGGACCTGAGCCTAGAACCCAGTGTCCTGAGCCCCAGCCCACGCTGTTTTTACCAGGCTTGTTGTCTGTGCTGCCCCACAGAAGCCAGGGCCATCTGAGTGAGGCTCCTGGGCTGCTCTTCTGCTGGCCTCATAGATGCTCTTCCCCTTGCTTTCCTTCTAGAAGTGGAGCAGATCGAGGCCATCGCCAAGTTTGACTACGTGGGGCGGTCCCCGCGTGAGCTGTCCTTCAAGAAGGGAGCCTCACTGCTCCTGTACCACCGCGCCTCCGAGGACTGGTGGGAGGGTCGTCACAACGGCGTGGATGGGCTCATCCCACATCAGTACATAGTTGTACAGGACATGTGAGTGGGAATTGAGATCTTCTGTGAAGAATGCCATGATTGATTAGTGATGTCTGGAATGGGCACAGGAATGGGAGTACTGGATTGTATGACAGCACTTTGCTCTCCCTGGTATGACACACTTGGTCTTCCGTAAGAATGGATTATGTCTAACCTCCCTTTGAATGGTAACCTACTTAACAAATAAGCAAATTGCTCATCCTTCAGAGTCCACAGGGACAATGTTTGGTGCCCTTGGCTCACCATCCCGGCCCACCTGACAGCCTCCAGGGCGTTTATCACCCACTATGGTTCTCAGTGTCCAGTGGATCTTGCCATATACCTCCACCCTCCTGGGCCTTCCCTGTAGCCAGTGGCCATCCCACTCCCCTCTTAATAGCCCACCATTCTCTACCCCGAGGTGGCTGTCTCAGGAGATGCGCAGAAACAATCATCCCTTCATTTCCAGCTAAGAGGGTACTATTTTTTAAAAAAGAATTTTGGGCATTAAAAAAAAGCCCTACATCCCAAATACCTAGCCCCACCATAATGCCCAGAAAGTCTACACCTTCCATTCTTTGAAAGCCTGTGAAGGTTCCTGCACACACTCCCTCCGAGCTCCAGTCTGCCTCAGGTGGAACTGATTTACCAAGGAAGCAGCCACCAAGCTGGGCCTCAAGGGGACGGTCTGGAGACAGAGAAAAGTCCAGAGCTCGGCAAACAACAAGACGATCCAAAGCAGCTCTCTGATGTCCCCAGGCCTCTGAGGGCAGGGAGAGGTCATGGGGGGGAGGTGGGCAGGGCACCCCAACAAGCTCCAGGCCCCTCACACCTGTTCAAAGCCCCGGGTGCGGAGAGGGATGGAGATGCCTTCCTTCTCCCTCGCTGGACCCCCAAACTGCTGCTCATCACCCAGGGCTCAGCTTGCAGGCCCCCTCCCCCATTTCTCCAGCACACCCTCCCCTTTAGCTTATCCCAGTCTCGAGCAGCTGGGAGAGAAGAGCCTAGATGAGGGGAGGAGAAGGTAGGCACGGGCGGTGCCACAGAGGGCCTCCTGCTGGAGAAGCAGCAGCGGCTCAACCACGAGGTGTGTGTGGATCCAGCCCCTCAGGTCTCAGCACATGTCGGTTCTCTGGAGCGAATCCCTCCCAATTCACGTCTGTCCTTCTCCCCAGGGACGATGCCTTCTCGGACAGCCTGAGCCAAAAGGCCGACAGCGAGGCCAGCAGTGGGCCACTGCTGGACGACAAGGCCTCCTCCAAAAACGACCTCCAGTCCCCCACGGAGCACATCTCGGATTACGGCTTTGGGGGGGTGATGGGCCGGTAGGAAACGCGGATTCATTCTTTGCGGCTAGTACAGTGCCGGTTTGTGTCTGACTGGGGAGAAGCAAGAGCACAGGAGGGAAAGAGGGAGGTTGTTGTGGCCCCTTCTTCCCCACAAGATATGACATGGGGCACAGCTGGTGGGCTGGCTGGAACTGGCCTAGAATGTCAGGTAGAAAGTGATCCAGCTTGGGGCAGAGGTGGAGAAAGAGGAGGAAAGACATATTGGCAACCAATGCTTTTTATTTAAAATAATAATAAACGGGAAAGAGAGAGTTGCAAGTTGGCAAGTATTTTTCCTCTCTGTCTCCAGTTCTTACACCTCCTCCCCACTTTCTGTTGAGGACCTAAGTTGTTATATTTAAAAATGTAAAAGCTCACTTAGTCCCTGAAGTGCACTGCAGAAACAGAAGCCTCACACCCACTTCGTGGGGGCAAATTGACACTCGGCTCCACACACATATTTGGTGGGAGCAGATTTGCCAGTTTCTTCACTCCTGCGTGTGGGCGGGGCTGTCACATGATCTTTCCGCCAGGTACGGAGCTGGGCTCCTCACTCCCTCTACAGGTATAGTCCAAAGCACGTGGCTGTTTAAAGAAAAAAATACAATAAGGAAAAGAGAAGGAGGGAGAGAGGGAGGCTGTCGTGGCCCCTTCTTCCCCACAAGATGTGACGTTGGAAAGGAAAGCTGGCAGTGTGTCACTGCTTTCTTAATCGAATTCTCAAAATGTCATATTCTTTGTTTTTCTGGTGGAGAGGTCATGGGATCAACCCACACATGGGGCACTTGCAGATAAAGCCAGAGAAATCAGCCACAATAGGAACATATGTTTATGAAGTTATTTCAGCAAAAGTCCCAGTACCTCTTTTCAGTGTATTCCGTTCGGTTCAGGGTGCTGATAAGTGATAGAATCAGGGCAGATGGACGGTTGGGGTAGGTAGATGACAGAGTCATGGTCCCTTGACTTCCAGGTGGGCCGTATCTTCTCCTGCCTCAATTTCCCTCTCCCTCTGTCCTCTTTCATCTACCTTCTTCTCGTTCTTTCCCAGTACTCTTCCTCTCGAACACCAATGCTTTGGTGCTGTTGGGGTGCCCACAGGAGGTGCTTAGCTTGGCTGGTGGCCCAGGGTCTAAAGCGCTGCTGACCACACTGAGCTTGGTCCCCGTCACAATCCATTCCCGCACTCTGCCCCTCTTCCCCGCCCCCTTGCCACTTCCAGCCTTCCCTCCCCTCACCAGTGCCTTTGAGTCTTCAGTGCCCTCCATAGGACACAGCAAAATCTCCTGTGGGTAGAACCTCTTCAAAGTGCTTTCCCACCTACTGAACCTCCCTCAGAAGGTGGGCAAGGAATATTATGCCCATTTAACAGATTAATAAAGTGGGTCTGAAAGAGGTCACTGGAAAGTCTGTGACAGAGACAGGACAAGAATTCGCCTTCCTGATAGACACTCTAGTCCCCTTTTCACTCCACCACAGGCCTCCCTGAGGGGTGAAAGGTATCCAAGTGCACGCAAGGCGTTCCAGTGATGCACATTTTACTCTTAATGACTAGTTGTCCAAGGTCTGGAAAAGCCTCATAGGAACAGCCTTTGGTGACAACACTGGGCTGTGGTCAGTTCCCAGGGGGGCCTTCTGAGCTTAGAACCCAGTGTCTTGAGCCCCAGCCCACGCTGTTTTCACCAGGCTTGTTGTCTGTGCTGCCCCACGGAAACCAGGGCCATCTTTCAGGGAGCTTGCAGGGAGCTGTTAACTCTTTGGTATAGTCAAGCCTCAATGCCTCAGACCAGTCAGAGGCCCTTTGGAATCATGGAGACCTCTAAACCGCTTAAGAACATACCATGGGCCCACCTAACCCGGAGCGAAGTGTTCCCAGGTTGAAATCCTCCTGGCCCTGACCTAACGTGTAGATGAGATTCACTATGTAATTGGCACCACCCCCGGCTGGAGCTTGGAACGCCCCCGACTCCTTCGTGTGTGCAGATGAAACCCGCGGGCCTGAGTCACGTGCTCAGACAATGCCTTCCCTGCAGAACCGCAGAGTCTGGCTGAACGAGGCTTTACTATACCCACTCCCTAGACTAGTGTGTAGCGTTTGGCCTGGGGGTTGGCTGACCTGTGTGACACTGGCCAGGGTTGACCTCTGCCCCACGCCCCGCCCCCTGGCTCCTTTGCAGAGTGCGGTTACGATCTGATGGAGCAGCCATCCCCAGGCGCCGAAGCGGGGGAGACACACACAGCCCGCCCCGGGGCCTGGGCCCCAGCATAGACACGCCACCCCGGGCCGCCGCCTGCCCCAGCAGTCCCCACAAAATCCCCCTCTCCCGGGGGCGGATCGAGAGCCCCGAGAAGCGGAGGATGGCAACGTTCGGGAGCGCCGGCAGCATCAACTACCCCGACAAGAAGGCGCTCTCCGAAGGGCACTGCATCCGGTCGACGTGCGGCTCCACCAGGCACAGCAGCCTGGGGGACCACAAGTCCCTGGAGGCCGAGGCCCTGGCAGAAGTAAGGGCCGGCGGGAAGGCAGGCTGCGCCAGCCGACACCCAGAGGGGCAGGGGGTGGGCACCTGCAGACGGGGGAGCCCCTTCGCCCTTCAGGCCAGGCTCAGGCTAAGCCAGAACGTGAGGTAGATAATGAGCTGGCCCCCCTGTGGGAGCGGAAGCTGGATGGGTGCAACTGCTGGCTGGGGCTCCTGTGAAGACCCAAGGGCCCAGTCTCCAGGGCCAGAGGTGGGATTCCCGGATGTGGGGATGTGGTAATGGTAGACGTCTCCATAACATGGCAAGATTGTGCTCTTCATGTTTTCATTCGTTCATCTTGTCATTCATTCATTCATTTGTTCATTCATTCATTTATTGACAAATACTGATTGAGCATCTGTTGTGTGGCAATCACTGTCTGGCACTGAGAGTATAATTGACCTAAAATGGATCCAGGCCCTGCCCACATGGAGCTTATGGTTTAGAGAAGAGAGAGATGCCAACCAGTAACACACACAGCTGTGAAATGGCAGCTGGGTCAGGAGTCTTGAATGAGGGGACTCTGCGTTTCAAGAGTGCTTTTAGAGTTTTGTGTTTTTTTAAATGACTTTTTAAAAATCTGGATGAGAAACCTGTGTGATTTTTACACTTGCCAAGCAAACCAAACACATCCATTTAAGAAATTGTTATGAGACAGTTTGTTCAAGTTGTTTAATAATTTGCATAGCTACTTTCCTGTGTTTTTGATACTTTTATCATAGTTCAGAAGTTTCCATTTTTCCCTCTGGAACTTGGCAGGATGCCCATTATGAATCCCCCTCCCAGTTTAGAAAAGAGAGACAGTTAGAACCTTTGGGTCGGTTAGGATTGTATTGTGAAGAGTGGCCTTGAATCCCTGTTCACAAGGGGAAGGGAAAGCTGAGAGCTTGGGGGCTGTGTTCTAGAGGAGGCCAGGAAAGGTTCTCAGGGATATCAACACAGCAAGTGAAATACCTCGCAGGATCTAGTTTGGCCCCAGGTCTCAATGCCCACTCCCAAGGTATCAGCATCTTGGCATGGGTCCAGCAGAGCAGCCGGGCAGCCTGCTGCTCCCTCCATTGTTGGAGGCCATTCTCTTGGGAAGCATTGCCCTAGCATCCGCCGTCACCTGGAAGGTCAGGCCACCTGAGGCCTGGCCCAGAGCCCTTTACACGGAGAATCAAATGAAGTCTACGCCACTGTTTCCAAAGCAGGTCCCACAGCAGACTGGTTCCATGGGGTATTAGTGGAGGGGAAAAAGGTGTTCTATGGTCAAGAAAGTTTGGGGAATGCTGGTCTTGCAAATTTGAATGGGTTGTCTGCAACAAGCATTATTAAATATGTTGATGTGCATTGTGAATCTTCAAGAAAGAGAGCAGGGCACACCCATCTCCCAGACTTCTTTGACCTTTAGTCACAGAGCATTTTGCAAGAGCGGCCTAAAGAATACACGTGGGGCATGCCGCTCGCATTTTCTCTCTGCAGACATATCTCCACACGCTAATTTGATAGCTGCCATTCGATAGCAGAGCATGGGAAACGGTATGTAAATAGCCAAGGGCACCCTGGATGGCCTCCAGCCTGCTCAGCATTGGCTCTGATGAGCACTTGACATTGCAGGCTGCGGAGGGCAGCTATGTAGTAGTAGGTGGAGTTACCTGAAATCCTCTGGTCTCAAAATGTCTTTTAGGATTTAGACTGGAGCCCAGTTAAAGAGGCAGTTTGGGGATCTGGCAGCACCGCCATCCAAGGTGGGAAGGTCTCGTTCGAGAGGAGGTGAAAAGGGATCGTTTTCCCCCGCTGTCCGTGCTCCCCAGCGCCTCTCTGCAGCTCCACTCTGAGATCACGGCATCACCTCTCAGACTAACGCAAGGCTCACGCCTAAACCCCCCAGCTGATCTTTCTCTGGACTTGCTGTCTTCCTGGCTCACACTCTGCGAGGGTGGAGTGGTGGTGGTGGGGATGGTGGTGGAGGGGCGATAATTATATTTTATTTATTAGTTTTGCCTTTTGGCTCCTGCTGGAGTAGAGCAGACAGAGTAGTGATGTCAGTGGGGGACTTTAAGCAGACTGAGACGCGGAAGGCGGGCTTGATCACTGCAGGGTTGGGATGTAGCAAAGGTTGGGACAGGACTGCCTTCTCTCCTGTCAGGTGGGACCCCCGTCACAGCCCCACAGTTATTCCTTGTAGGTAAAGGCACAAACAGCATCTTCTTTAAAGTAGACAGTGTTAAGGGCAAAGGATAAAATGTCCTGGGGAAGCATAAATGCTAATATTAGCCATTAGCTAATCATCAGTAGTCTCTTCACCAAACAAGATGATAGGCTGGGACCCTGATGGAGGCCAGATTGGAGCCTATCGTGGAGGCCCAGCGGGCAGGAGCTGCCTGAGGACAGGGGAGGAGAGGAGGTGAAAGAAGACGTGGACGAGGAAGGGGCCGGCAGGACACCTGTGGGCACCAGCCCCATCAGTCTGACCAGACTTTCAGTTTTCCCAGAGCTGCCCCAGGGCAGAAAAGCTAGTGTGTCTCAATAGTCATCCCGGAGCCTGAGGTGGGTCAGCACTTTCCAGCAGCGGTTCTGTCCCTCCTTGTCCTCTCGGTGGCCCAGCTCAGCCTGAGCAGCTCCCCCTGCCTCTGTGTGGAGGCATCCCTGGGAAACCCCACGGGAGCCGAGGACTCTGGCTGAAGGGAGTGTGAAAACCACCATCCAGCAGTTCACAAAGTATCATCACGTCCACTGTCTCATCCCATCTTCACGGCCAGCAGGGGGCTTTCAGCACCTGGACCGAGTGTTGTGCGGAGCCACTGAGACTTGCCCGAGGTTGCCCAGCAGCGGTAGCAGAGGAACCTTTTTCCCTCCCAAACCTGGGCTCTGCATCCAGGCCCAGGGCTCCTGGGTTAAATGCTGCCATCCAGCTCCAGTGCTCACTCCTGGAATGCTGAGCCCCAGGTCGGCCCTCTGGGCTGCCAGAATCTCTCTCTGTGTCATTCAAAGTGCTCTCATGCTGATGAGCTCTTAAATATCGCAATATCCCTGGGAATTGTGTAGGCAGATGAAGATTTTTGTTGCTTTTTAAATTTCCCATTTAAAAAAAAATTGTTCTGATTATAATACAGAGAAGAAAGTAACAGTCCTATCATCCTGGGGTGAGCATTGCAAGCATTCTGATATACAACCTCCACACAAATTTCCTATGGACAAAGGAGAGATACATTTTTTTAATAATAATAGTTAGGGGCATGAACGCTGGAGCCAGAACTACTATGCTGCTAAGTAGCTGTGTGACCTTGGACAAGTTACTTAACCAGTCTGAGCTTCCATTTCCTCATGTGTGACGTGAGCGTAATGGTAGTTCCTACCATATAAGTGAGAGGATTAAATGAATTGTTAGGGGAAGGGGCTTGAATTGGTGCTCGGTTTTAGCTGTTATTGTCATTGTTATTGTCATTATTTGGAAATACTCACTAGGTACCAGGTGCCATGCCATGCTCTTCGCAGGGACCGTATCATTAAATATACTCATCAACCCCTTGAGGTCAGTATTATACATGTCTGTAATCTACAAATGAGGATTCTGTGACTCAGAGAGGTAAGGTGGCTTGCCCACAGTCACACAGCAGGGAAGTCACAGAAATAGGATTTGAACCCAGGTCTGTCTGACTGCAGAGCCTGCCACCACTAGGTCTGTGATACTCACACTGATTTTCCTTATGGTTATAAGAGTCCCTGGGATCCAATCTCCATCCCTCCCATGAGATTTGTGGGGAAGCCTCCCTAAGAAGCCTACAAGCTGGGTAGCAGCCCCAGAAGGGTTAGATCCCAGCCCTCCAGACTCTGTGCTGACGAGCGCTCTCCCTGTCCCCAGGACATCGAGAAGACCATGAGCACAGCTCTGCACGAGCTGCGGGAACTGGAGAGGCAGAACACAGTCAAGCAGGCACCAGATGTGGTGCTGGACACCCTGGAGCCCCTGAAGAACCCGCCAGGCCCCATCAGCTCAGAGCCGGCCAGCCCCCTGCACACCATCGTCATCCGCGACCCCGACGCCGCCATGCGTCGCAGCAGCAGTTCCTCCACCGAGATGATGACCACCTTCAAGCCAGCCCTGTCCGCCCGCCTGGCCGGCGCCCAGCTGCGCCCGCCCCCCATGCGGCCGGTGCGGCCCGTGGTCCAGCATCGGTCCAGCAGCAGCAGCAGCTCGGGCGTGGGCAGCCCGGCCGTGACGCCCACCGAGAAGATGTTCCCCAACAGCTCGGCCGACAAGTCGGGCACCATGTGACCTGCGGGGTGGCGGGCACCGCCCCGGCCCGCCGTGGCCCGCCGTGGCCGAGGGTGGCCTCTGTGACTCCCACGTCCTCCCGGTGCTCCTGGCCTTGTCGGGCAGGGCCCGGAAGGTCAGCCTGGGAGCGGGTCTGTGTGGAGCTGAGGCCCAGGCCCGAGCCACAGCTCACCTTCAGCCACATGAATCCACAGGCCTCCCTCCTGTGTGCACACAGACGGCCAAGCGGAGAGGAGCAGCCGCCCCAGCCAGAGCCTTTCCCGAGGTCGTGGCAAATGTTAAATGGCTTCACCCGCGTATCGTCACTGGAAAGTTATTCTCTCGACATTCTCTCTACATGCATCCATACGTGTGTATGTATGTGTATGTGCATATGTACACGTATATATGTACGTATGTGTCTGTAGGAGTGTGTGTGTGTATATATATATTTATGCATCTATATACATATACTAGATCTGGACACACATATGAAATGTATATAGGATCTCCTTTTTCTTTTTACGAAACTTAGATTTACCTCAGACCCATGCCACCAAACATCTCCCGCTGAGTTATTTGGTGGGATTTGCAGGGACTTTTCTGGGAGAATTTAAGGCCCACAGTAACTGCGAATGAAGCAATATACTACTAACCTGCAGAAAAACAAAACCAGTCTCCCACTGTCTCCAGAAGTTGTGGCCTTCCAGAACAGTCTGCCCCTAAAGGAAGGGTGGGGCAGGTGGTACCCCGGGCAGGCTGCTCCCAGAGGTGGGGAACCCTTCACAGAGCCCCCCCCATCCACCCCAGAGACCCTGCCTTTCCACACGGAGGCCAAGACCAACTGCACCCCAAAGGCATGGAGGACGTTGGCGAGAAGAGCCCTGACTGCAGCGGCCTGTGTTCGACTGTAGAAGAGGGGATGGTGAGAGCCTGAGCCCCATCGTAGCGCAGTATTATGTGTGGTTGGGAAAAAGGAAAAAAAAAACCCAAACAGTGGTGTGGAACACTTCAAAACCTAGAAACGCTGTAGGAATAAATCTGTGGTAACTATAGAGGTTTAACTTATACCATTTTCAAAATATTTAATTTTGTCTTTTCCTCTTTCTACTAATTATACTGTGTCAAAATCTGGAACTAAACAGGCAAGGAGACTTTGAGTCCCATCATTTTAATTTGAAATCAGGCCGTGACACGCTCTGGCTGGTGGCCTCTTGCATGAACCACACGGGACCGTAAGTGCCCACCTCAGACCAGGGCCGGGGAGGGAGTCCTGGGCACTTGCCGTCCTAGAGAACGCTTCGGTGGACTTTATGCAATGAAATAAGCTTCCCTCTCCCCTTTCCCTTCCCTTTTGCCCACCTCCTCCAGCACATTTAACTCAATTGAAAATATGGGGTTAGGTTTGGGGGGCGTGTCACCCACCTCACTGAACCTCTGTCTCCTGCTCCATAAAAATGTAAGCGAGCAAGCCATGCAACCTAGAAAGCATTGTGCCAACACGATTGCTGTCTTCACGGTCATCACTAAGGTGAAAACCATCCAGCGCCATCCTTTTGAAACCTCCTAATGGCATTTGAGAAGTGGGCAGTGGAATTTTCCTGCCAGCTTCATAAGAGCCATGAAGCCCGGTCCTGCAGGTACATCACCTCTTGACATTCCATCATCACCATTTCAGCCCATTGGATTAAGTTTCGCCCTCTCCTCTGGTCCCCAGACGGGGGGACCTATGAAGCCACGTTACCTAGGTGTATAGGGGTGGTGAGCCACACTGCCTTGCCTGAAGCACTGGCCTTGAGAGCACACAGTGGAGGAAAGAATAAGAAAGGGCACAAAAAGAGAATGCCAGGGAGAGGCCAGTGACAAACTTGACCTTCCTTGTTTTGCCTGTAACTCCTGGAAATGAAAGAGCCTCAGAACGAGCTAGGAGCCCTCTGTCTTTTTAGCACATAAACATACCCCCATATTACAGGTTAGGAGAGGAAGCAAGGCCTTAGGATGGCTGTGACTTGTCCAAGATTTAATAGATGGCTGAGAGGGGGGCTGGGTCCAGCTCCTAAAGTCATTTATTTGCAAGGAGGCTGTGCCGTTCAGTGGGATAAGAGACTTCTCATGTCCGCCCCAGAGAGACTCGCAGACCTTAAATGCAGTGGCCTGCTGTGCAAAATGCCACATTCTCTGCCATGGCTACCAGACGAAAAGTGAAAACCTGAGTTGGCAGATCTGTTGCCTGAAATACATAACACCAGTCAGATCATGTGGATTTTCCTCTGAGATGACTAACTTCTTCTTTCCTTATTGAAAACAGGCCTGCCTTTCACTGAATTACCTGAGGGCAGAGCCTTTGCCGTTTTCTTTAGGCACCTATTCTTCCATTGGGAAATGGCTGGTGAGTTCACATTTAGGGAAGCTCACACCTCACTCATCCAGCTCCAAATCTGAGCCTTGACGCAGAACCACGTGGAAAAGTACTTCCCCCTGCCCCACCCATCTGGCGCCCTGCATGTCTCAGGCCCCCTCCACTTGCATCCAGGCCCGCCCCCTGTCACGAGCATTGGCATTCTCGTCCTGACTCCTGCCTGTGTTAGTCCACTATATATTGCTGTATTTGCTTAAATGCTGGAAAGTAACTGTTAAAATGTGAAACTGTAATTTTTAAAAAGGCTACAATGAAATCACAGCCAATGCCACTCACCAAATCTTTGCACCTAGTAGATAGATCAGTGTAAAAAACAAGTACCAGAAACCTAACTGTACAGTGAGCGTGGGGGGAAACGTAGTAACCTAGTTAGTAGTCCTCAGTATAACCAGTTGTACAAGGGGAAGTGGTGTTTACCTGCTTGTCCATCACGATTACCGAAAGCTGTACTGATCAGTTCATTGATAACGGGCAATTTTTTTTTTTTTTTTTCTTCACAGAACAGTTTCTTAACCTTCAACTTACCCTGAGGTCAAGCCTTTTGTCTTTATGTGTTACTGGTGTTCAGTCTCTTTTAGGAATGAACCAGCAAGATGTTCATTTAAAACTGACCAAAGACAATTCATTCCTGGTCTAGTTTCCTTGGCCTGGGGCCCAGCCTCCGGCCACTAAGGACCTTTCTTGGATAAAACGGAGAATGAGCCGTGCTTCCTACCCCTCTCTCACTCTCTCCCTTTAGTCCCCTTTCCTCTTAAAGAGCTGCTCTGAGCTGTGGGATTCTGTGAAAAATTCTTGCCTTTCCTTGTTTTCAGTGCTAACGATTTCTCACCTTGAAGCGCCTTTTGAACCCCAGACGGAGCGCACAACTGGAGGGAATTGTCAGCTTGGGAATCAGACTTGGGAGTCTTTTCTCTGAGGTCACTGGGCCCAGGGGCAGGAGAGAAACGGATTCCCGAGGGTCGAAAGGTTCCTATTCCATGAAGAAATCCAAGTGGGAAGAGATGCAGGGAAGTGGAGTCATCCCTCGGCTGCCGGTGGAACTAGCAGCTCAGCGATCTGCCTTATAAACAAACACTCCAGAACTGGCTGGTGGTACCCCCAGGGGGCCAGCACAGGGAAGGGCCTGGCGTGGGGCTTGCTTCCCTGTTGGAGGCCCTCGGAGTGCCTTGTCAGGGGGATTTCCTTCTCATTCAGGAGGCACGGATGCAGAGGACTTCCTGGGACCTGGTCATTACCTGGCGCTCAGTGCACGTACACAGCTGATGGCAAACCATGAGGCCTAATGGAATGGTTCTTCCTCTCAGTCTCTCTGTCCCTAACCTTTCATACTAGAGCAAATGCCTCATCCTCCTGAGAAACCTAGAAAGAAGGACGGCTGGCTCACAACCATGGGGGTTAGGGGCTGCTGGGTTCAGGGAGGGAGACCTGGAGGAAAAGGCAGGAAGCGGGTGAGCCGAGGTGTTGCTAAGATGATTTTCTGCTGTGCAGAGCTAATGGTGATGTTTCATGGCAACTTCCCCGGTTCTCTGGGGTCCCCGCTCCTCTGAGCAGCCGTGTGGAGAATTCCGCACATACCTAAAGCTGCTGGGGGAGCTGAGGGCAGGGGCTTTGCTGCCAGGTCTGCGTCCTCCTTGCCTCTCTGAGGTTGATCTGCCAGGGTCCCGCCGTCTCATCCTCTGGGACTGCCCCTTGCCGACACCTCCTTTCTGTGTGAAAGGACAAATGACAGGCAAATGACAACCTTGAACCAGAGCAGCCAGAGTACGTTTTGCTTCCCTCGAATGGAAGTAGCTTCTGGCCAGAGTTTCTGCTCAGGCTCTAGTCCCCGGCAGTGTGACTGTTTACTCGGTTTGGCAATAGGTTTGGTTCTGATTGCTTCAGAGTGGCTGGTCTATTTCGTTTCCTTTGGTTTCCTTCCTCCCCAAACTGTCAGGAAAATCAAACCGAAATCACCCTAGGAGATTGCTGGTTGCCTGTCCCCGTGTGGCGATAAGTGTTGCCCTCTCCCGGACATCATTTCTCTACCTTACAACCCAGCGCCCGTGCTGTAGAGTGTCTGACTGGATCCTCTGTCGCGTATTCTGATGGTGCCTGCTGGTTTGACGTGGAGCTATCCTGTGAAATAAAACAGCTTAACTTTTCTCAAACGTGCTCCGGTGGTTTTTTGGAAGGGTGAGGTCGCCCGCTGGGGATGGGGAGGCCCCAGGGGGGTGTTCCTACCCTCCAGTCCACGGTCAGTGTGCTTCCCCCGGGAAGCATCCCTGAGATGTCCTTTAGCTCAGGTTGAACATTGTGAAGGCCAAGTTTCCAAAGAGGACTGCGTCCGTTGCAGAGCTAACTGAAGGAGGTAAGTGTGGGGTGCCTGCTGGGAAAGCGAGAACCAGGACGGTCAGAGCAAAGGCAAGGGGGAGGGGGAGCCATCATCTGAGGAGAGGCCTTCCTGAGCTTATGATGAATCAGCGGAGGCCACAGGATACTATTGCCAGTGTGACTGCATATGCAGCATTTTAGCACCTGTTGTCTACACACGTGTGATACAGCCCCTTGGAATTGTGTGTGTGTGTGTGCATGTGTGAAGTGTTTGTTGATCACTTATTTCTGTCTCAGACACTAGATTAAGTATGCATTTCTCATCAAATTCTCAAAACAGCTATTGAAGGTAAGTACCCTTCTTAAACCCCATTTTGCAGAAGATGAAATGGAGGCTCTGAGAGGCTAAGCAACTTGTCCGAACTCAGGCTAGGAAGTGAAGGAGCCCGAATCTGAATTCAGCCCATCTGACCCCGCAGCCGTGCTGTTTACACATTCATTGTCTTGCCTGCCCTCAAGCAAGCTCATCACAGTGGGATTGGCGGCAGGATCCCATGATGAAGGTAGCTCCCTGCGGGCCGTAGTCAAG